TCTTCTTCCACATCATCAATAATTCATGTTTCCACTTGCGCCTCTATTGAAAACTGCGGGTAGCTCTGATGTGTTTCAGCCTTTCACTGATCTGCTATAAGAGGGCTGCAGAATACACCATAAAAACGTTTTATTTTGTACCAAGCAAAGATTTCAAGCTTAATGATCTGAAGCGTTATTAACTCTAAACAGAAAACAGTTTTTTTTTTTAAGACCAGCCCTTCAGTTGACGTCCATCACTGACTTAATCCCTTAGGTTGTCAGAGCTATGTGGTTCAGTTACTATCCCCAGATGGCTTTATGAATACTACAAGGTGCGGAAGACACTGACAGTATTTTTCTTCTTACAAAAAATAAAACAAATGACTTAGTTAATTAAATACAGGGAATGCTTTAGTTGGAGGTGTATACATAACTGTGTCATTATGCCTATATAAGTGTATCATCATGACACATGACATAACCAGTCATAACACTTGACATTTTGCTCGATGTGTTAAATGCACGAAGGCATTAAAAAGTGGAGATTGGAGCATGGAGCACATAGCTGTTCATATGGATTAAGTCCATGAACTCTAATAAATGTTTTCCTATGCTAATTGGTGATTATGTCATGAGGTAATGACAGTATGTATACCCCCTCAAAATCAAGATAATTTACCTTAATGTAAGCTTGTCTCAAAAACTGTACTCTCTGGCAAGGTTTACTCATTTTCCAAATAAAGTTAATACATATTTTTTTATTATACTGAATTTAATCCTTTGAAAAAATCTTGGCTTAACACCTCTGTGTCAAGCATACATCAATGTTCATGTCAATTTTGCATCAGCAAGTAAGGAGGATTACAAAGAGAAAATGTCATAGCAGCAAGGTATAGGTATCATTAAGGTACACTGTAACACTGTATCTGAGACAAGAAAAACACAAAATCCCAAAACACTTCTCACCAGCAATGAGGTCAAGAGCTTTGTTTCTGTGTGTTTAGCAGATTTTGTAGTATTTATGTGTGTTTAGTAGGTACTGTAGTATCATTAACCTGTTTGTTTCATGAAGTGATGGGATTTCTCATTGTCTAACATCAGATCGTGTCAATAATAAGTGATGCTCATCAGTGCAGGCGGAATCAACGTGCAATGGGGATATCTCTGATACGAATGTAGATGGAGGAACCATAGAATTGGAATGAATATAATTAGAACCAAATCATTCTCATTCTAATTCTATTGGAGGAACTGTACATCATGGGCAAAGTAGAGTCACTCTCTTCCACAGAGGACAATAAAATAAATAAATAAACAGTTACTAGTGTTGTGTTGCAATGAAAGGCTCAATTCCAATGGAGTAAGTTACAATAAAAACAATTGGCTATAGGCCTACAAATAAATGACAATTTTAGGTACCACTAGTTTTTAAAGCCTATAATATAGAATGGTGTGGTGCCTATAATAACCACCTACAATAGACAGTTTGTTGTTGTACTCTAATTGACAGTTTCTCAACAGTTTCTTGTCCACATTGTGACAGAGGACATAACACATATATTGTGAAATATTCAAGTGTTACCAATAAGTTAACTGCGTCTATTCAACAAGCTGCAGTTAGACTCCTGACTGTTGCATGTGTCATAATACTTTAATGCCAAAGTCAATAAGCGGCAGTATTTGCATCCTGAGTAAAATGGAACAGTGTGTATTGTGTCTTTTGTGAAATTAATTCATTTTCAAAATACTGGTTTCCATTGTTTTGGGGATAAGGCTTAATAAGGTTTTATTTTATATAGATTTGATAGATTTGGTTACAACTAATACTACATTACACACAGACCAGTTTAAGCAGTAATGTTTGATTTGGCAGGTCAATGATATGGGGCATTTGGGAATCGGATAAAACATATCTGTAAACATAATAAAAAGTGGCCCATTTGAAACTTGAAGTTCAGAGTGACATATAAATAAACACAGTTGACCAAATTTCAAAGTATGCTGGCTATTGAAGTTTATGAGTTGTACAGTACTAACTAAACGTAAAAATGTTCTTTATGTTCATAAATGTCCTTATCAATATGTTTATAATTAATCATCCAATACGACTGAGGCTTAAGCAAAAACAATTGTGTCCAGCACTCTTTACTCTTGTAAAATGTTAAATGCAACTGGATATTGGTGTATATATCCTTTGAAAGTAACTCCTAATTTCATATTTTTCATTTAAATGGAATAAACAGTAATATCGTAATTGACTGATGTTTTTTCCCCATTTAATTTCTGTAGAGTTAAGAGAAATGTTTTAATCTTAACCCACTTCAGTCCTTAGAACTCTGTTTATTAGACATAATTTATTGGTATACATTCAAAGATACACTATATAGCCAAAAGTATGTGAACACTGGACACCCCTTCAAATTAGTGGATTCGACTATTTCAGCAACACCCGTTGCTGACAGGTGTATAAAATCGAGCACACAGCTAAGCAATCGTCATAGACAAACATTGGCAGTAGAATGGCCTGTACTGAAGAGCTCAGTGACTTTCAACGTGGCAATGTCATAGGATGCCACCTTTCCAACAAGTCAGTTCGTCAAATGTTTTGCCCTGCTAGAGCAGCCCTGGTAAACTGTAAGGGCTGTTATTGTGAAGTGGAAACATCTAGGAGCAACAATGGCTCAGCCGCGAAGTGGTAGGCCACACAAGCTCACAGAACGGGACCGTCGAATGCTGAAGCGCGTAATATTTTGTCTGTTCTCGGTTGCAACACTCACTACCGAGTTCCAAACTGCCTCTGGAAGCAACGTCAGCACAGGAACTGTTCGTCGAGAGCTTCATGAAATGGGTTTCCATGGCCGAGCAGCTGCACACAAGCCTAAGGTCACCATGCGCAATACCAAGCATCGGCTGGAGTGGTGTAAAGTTCGCCGCCATTGGACTCTGGAGCAGTGGAAACTCGTTCTCTGGATTGATGAATCTCGCTTCACCATCTGGTAGTCCGAACTGACAAATCTGGGTTTGGCGGATGCCAAGAGAACGCTACCTGCCTGAATGCATAGTGCCAACTGTAAAGTTTGGTGGAGGAGGAATAATGGTCTGGGGCTGTTTTTCATGGTTCGGCATGATAATGCCCCTGTGCACAAAGCGAGGTCCATACAGAAATGGTTTGTCGAGATCAGTGTGGAAGAACTTGACTGGTCAGCACAGAGCCCTGACCTTAACCCCATCGAACACCTTTAGGATGAATTGGAACTCCGACTGCGAGCCAGGCCTAATCGCCCAACATCAGTGCCCGACCTCATAAATACTCTTGTGACTGAATGGAAGCAAGTCCCTGCAGCAATGTTCCAACATCTAGTGAAAAGCCTTCTCAGAAGAGTGGAGGCTGTTATAGCAGCAAAGTGGGGACCAACTCCATATTAATGCCCATGATTTTGGAATGAGATGTTTGACGAGCCGTTGTCCACATAGTTTTGGCCATGTAGCGTATATACAATTTTATGACTAGATAAATCCCCTCTGACTGACAATCATTTTATATTGGTTTCAACTCAGTGAAAGAAAACAGGGAGGGAGAAGTAGTTAATAAAATATTCTGGGGTTCATCTAATATTGATGTTACTATTGTATTTTCACTAGTGAAACAATTACAATCCTTATCAAATATATTGCAGTAGTACAATAAAAACAGCAATGAGGTTATAATGCTTCCAGTCTCAGATCAAATAGCATTCGTAAGAAGCATGAAGGATGTCTGGCTTGGGCTTGTAATGTGGAGAACTTTCTCTGCTCTGTCGTTAAAACATATCTTCCTATCACCATACTTCATGTGGGGATAGTTTAAGATCCGTGAAGAGAATCTTTTGAACTTTCCTCAGGATTCCAGAAGTATACCATGATTTTAGCGTTTTACACAGTACTTCCCTTCAGATGGAATTATTGCACAGCCAAATTCATTTCAGAACTGGTCAACTTCAAGACCATGAAGAACATACTTTTCATTCAAGTAAAAGGTGCACTATACTATGTCATGCCATGGATGGTTAGATTTAATAAGTGACATGTAGACACAGGCCAGGCACTACAAGTGGGCTATGTTTGGCATTGCCTCCTCAAATAGACTCTTGGGGGTGATTGAGTTTTGCTCAAGTTGGCAACCCTAGTTCACCTTTACTCCTGGCATGCCATGGGCCTTTACACGATTAATCCAAAAGTTCAGAAGAGAAACACGTGTGTTGATTAATTCCATTATTAACACACATCGGTAATACCAGCATTCCATCATGACAACATGACTCAGATATAGAGATGAGGTGGGTTTAAAATGTCAATATGCTGAGTATACACAGTTATGTTGAAAGTGTTTAAGGTGCTGCTGACCTGCTAGAAACAAGCTGATGATGAATGTGACCAATTATTGAATCAATAATAAGTAACTGTTTCTTGTCTCCTTTCCCTCTCTCTCAAAGAAAGAGAAGAAATAAAAAAGTATATTGCTTCAGAAAAAAAGCTTTTTCAAAATGTTGTGAGACATTTCATTCACCACTGCTTGGGTTGTTCTAGAGCATTACATAGTCAGTCATAGGTATATTATATATATATATATATATATACTGAGAGATGCTGTGAATCCAAGAGATAAATGATCAATGAGGAGTTGTGACCGTGACGAATGTCTGTGACCACACGGTGGCGCTGGTTCATCTCCACCATCCTCCAACCTACCAGCAAGACCACAATGCAATGCAGGCATTGATGTATTTTGCTGGGATAGGGGCTGGAATATCAGTCTGTCACAGTTAACATTAGGTAGTCCAAGGACCCAAGCCTCAGGATGTCACAGAGAGAGAGAAACAGAGAGATATAAGAGAGAGAGAAAGAGAGAGAAGATATGCACAGAAATGCACACGCTCTCCCTCCGTCTCGCTTGCTCACCACCGTCTGGTGTCGTAGGGTAATGTTAGGATGGAGGGGGCAGATGGTTGGATGCAGTCCACTCCTCCACTTAGCGGTGATCATTTGCTCTTCCCTGACGTGCTGGAGCCTCCTGCCCCTCCCTCTGCTCTCTCACCCCTCTCCGACGTGTCTGCCTTCTCTGAGCCCTCGCCTGTCTTCTCGGACCCCTCTCCCTTCTCAGACCTATCCTTGTCAGACCTCTCGTCCTCCTCCACCTCTCCTCCCATCTCAGACCTTTCTGACCTGGCGTCTGCGTCACCCTCTGACTTCTCCTTCCTCTCCGAGCGGTCGGGATCTGTGGACGAGGTGGTGGGTTTGTCCCACTTGGCGATCTCCTCGTGTTCAGTTATACTGGTGGTGATGTTAGTGACCCAAGCCTTCAGGTCCTCCTGCAAAAGTGCACCCAGAGACATGGGATTATTAGGGTTTCTACAAAACCAAGAAGCAAGACCAGTAATTTAATCAATAAATCAATCAAAATTATTTTATTTTGTAAAGCCCTTTTTACATCAGCAGTTGTCACAAAGTGCTTTACAGCTACCCGGACCTAAACCCCAAAGAGCAAGTAAAGCAGAAGCGAAAGCACAGTGGCCTGGAAAAACTCCCTAGAAGGAAGGAACCTACTGTAGGAAGAAACTTAGAGAGGAACTCTGCTCAGAGGGGTGGTCTATCTAGCTCTCTAATGGGAGTAAATAATTGATGTTAAGACAGATTAAGCATGTTCATTTTCATCACAGGCATTCTCACCTCATCCTTTGCATGGAAAATATAGTCATTGCCATCATTTTTCCTGTTGGAGAAGAAAGGAGAGAGACATTGTTATGGAATTACCAAGAGTCTATCCTCTAGTCAGGGATTTTAAAGATATTCAAAAGTTTTGAGGTGAAGAAAATAATGATATGCTAAAATAAGGAGTAAGGTGGAGTAAAAAAATATCCTCTTCATCAAGCCATACTTGATAACGAAGACATTTTTCTTCTTCTTGTATCCCATGGTGCTATCACATATACAGACGCTCAGGTCGAGTGGGCTTTCTTCATTGTAAGGTGTGGTGGTGCTCTTGGCGTCCTTGTAGAAAATGATCTCTCCCTTTGACAACACGCAATACAAGTTCACCCACGACTTACTGCAAAACAAGAACAGCTTATTTTGCAACATATGCGTGTTTCTCCTTTCTTCCAAGGTGAATTCATAGTGTATCGATATGTGTGTCATAGTATGTCAATAGAGTACTGTATATATCCCTTAGTGATCTACAGTAACCGTTTAATTCTGTGGTGTGTGTGGTGGGGTGTGTTGTTTGGTGGGGTGTGGTGTGTGGGGTATGGTGGGGTGTGTGGTGTGCTATGTGTGTGGTGTGTAGTAGGGTGGGGTGTGGTGTGGTGAAGTGTGTGGTGTGGTATGTGGTGTTTGTGAATGTGAGTCAGTGGACAGCCCACCTGCTGGGACTCTTTTGCTGGCCCTCAAAGTCGTGTTTGCGGTACAGGAAGCCTTCGTTATGGGCAGTGTGTGAGGGCGGCAAGAGTTGCGCCGGACTCTGGGCCGGAGCCGAGCGAGAGCGCCGCTTCTCCTCAGGCTCTTTGGGGCGGGGTCTCCTGCGGGGTTTGGGGCGGTCTCGGGCGCGCGGGCGCTCGTAGGTCACGGGTGCTGAGAGGCTGCTGGTGGGGCGGTACGTCTCCCCTCGAGCCTGGAACAGACAGGAGAGAGGTGTGTCATTCAGAAAGCCGGCCTGTGTGGCCTAACAAACTGTATCTTCACTATACAAAAACTAAATATAAAATGGCCCCAAGATAAATGTATCAAAATAGGAAATACTGTTAAATGCATGTGAAATAACTTACTTGTGCTGCCTCTCTCTCCTGGGCCTGCTCCACAATCTCAGCCATGGTGGTGGCTCTCTTCTCTCTGCAATGAGACAGTTTCTGCCATGAGTCACCCAAACAGGGAATATAATCAATACCTTCCAAATCAAAGCTTTTGGATCATGGTGGAAATTGCTGACAAGACACAACTGTTTTTGTAATGAGCATGTGAAATGAGTTGCCACAAACAGACAGCATAGTGAAGAACTGCTGAGGTTATGACCAGGCAGTCCTGGACTCACATTGAGCGTTTGTCAGAGCCTTCCTTGGCTGACTCCATGTCGCTGGAGTCGTCCTGCTTCGGTGTCCTAGCCTTCCCGCTGCCCTCCTGCTCGCTGGACGACTGCCTCTCCAGGCGTCGCCTATAGCGCTCCTGACGCACAATCATTGGCAGCTCGTTGAGCCGTGCCTGGATCTCCTGTTCGCTGGAGGTCTGCCGGCCCAGCTTGTACTCCCTCTCCCGCCGCAGGTGGTCCATCTGGGGGTCGGAGCGGCTGCCGCGGGGGTCCCTTTGGAGCCTGCCATGGAGGAGCTCCAGGCCAGACTCTGGCCCGATCATGTCCACCATGGGGATGTCCCCAAACTGTTCCCTCTGTGCCCTGCTGGCCTCCAGGAGGGGGTTGACAGCCTTGTGGATGTGGTTGATCCTGGGCTGCATGCAGTCGGCTTTCAGATGCTGCCACGCATACGCCATTTTGGGGTCCATGACCCCACCGCTTTGAGGCAGATAGCTAGAACTACCCATACCTCCACTACCTTGGTTTTGAGCCAGGTAGCCTGAACTACCCATAACCCCACTACCTTGGTTTTGAGCCAGGTAGCCTGAACTACCCATAACCCCACTACCTTGGTTTTGAGCCAGGTAGCCTGAACTACCCATACCCCCACTACTTTGATGGTTTTGAGCCAGGTAGCCTGAACTACCCATACCCCCACTACTTAGATTTTGCGCAAGGTAGCCTGAGCTACCCATACCCCCACTACTTTGATTTTGCGGCAGGTAGCCTGAACTACCCATACCCCCACTACTTTGATTTTGCGGCAGGTAGCCTGGACTACCCATACCCCCACTGCTTTGATTTTGCGGCAGGTAACCTGGACTAACCATACCCCCACTACTTTGATGGTTCAGTCCAAGGTAGCCAGAACTATCCACTGGCGGGGGGGCAGTCTGATGGTTCACTCCAAGGTAACTGGAGCTGCTGTCCACACCTCCACCGGCCTGATGGTTTAGCCCAGGGTAGTTGGAACTCTCCAACCCCCCACTGCTGCTCTGATGGTCCAGTCCATGGTAACCGGAGCCATTCATGACAGGGGTGTAGCTGGCCATGGTAGAACCCAACCTCTGGACTGCAGAAGAGGCAGAGGCAGCCATCCCCAGACTGGTCTGCTTGGGCCTGGGCTCAATATGCACCTGGACCATCTGCCTCAGCAGAGTTGAGGTAGCAACGGGAACGGTCGGAGTGAGACAGGACGATGGGAACATCCTCCGACTGGAGAGTGGTGTTGGGGCAGGCTTGCTGCTCTGTTCTTCTCTCAGCTTCTCTGCCTGAAAGTCAAGATTGAAGTGAAGAGTAACCCAAAATGTAACAGCGAAACAATTAGCAGGTATGGAGTGGGCAAACTAGACTGGGCAAACTGTACTGCAAAGACCTTTCTTGTCTATTTAATCAAATGTCTGAATAAAACCCTTTGGCTAAGAAAGAAAACAAAATCCTAACAGGTATGTTAGACAACACACATAAGCAAAGACTTAAGTAAATCTGCTTCGTCATCAGACAGTGCCAACAATGACGAGCAAGTGGTACAGTACAGTAGACTGTCTGTATCTATCTAAAGAAGAGCTTACGTTGGAGAGCTGTCTCAGTGAGCTGAAGCGCTCCTTCCAGGTGGCTGCAGCCTTGCGGAAGGCCTCGTGGCGGAGGATGAGCTGCTCCACCTCGTCAGTCTGGACCTGGGCCTCTCCTCCAGCACCCCCAGCCTCCCTGGAGGTGGAGCTGGAGTTGATCAGGGGCTCCTTGGCCTTCAGCCAGGCCTCCGCCTTCACCGTCTCCTGAGCATACTGGAACTGATCTTTCTCTGTAGAAAGGAAGAAGAGATGGGCATGGTCAATTCAATAGTTCTTATTATAACAAAGTCTTTGAACATTAACCAAAGCTCATATACTGTACACATTTATGCTGAATGGGTATGAATTTGTCTCCCACTGACATCAATTAATGATTTACATGAAAGTTGCAGCCAATTATCTCAACTCTAGGGCTAGGTCAGGGTTCCCCAACTGGCGGCCCCGTGGGCCAATGGTTTTATTTGGCCCCTCAAGGAAGAAGAGATGGGCATGGTCAATTCAATAGTTCTTATTATAACAAAGTCTTTGAACATTAACCAAAGCTCATATACTGTACACATTTATGCTGAATGGGTATGAATTTGTCTCCCACTGACATCAATTAATGATTTACATGAAAGTTGCAGCCAATTATCTCAACTCTAGGGCTAGGTCAGGGTTCCCCAACTGGCGGCCCCGTGGGCCAGTGGTTTTATTTGGCCCCTCAAGTTTTCTGAGCAAAAAATAATAATTTTGGGAACATAATAGACTGTAAAACAACAGGAATTTCTGTTCTCAAGTATTCCCACACATAATAGAGAGGCACGTGATCGTATACAAATGTAAGCAAGGTTTGAAATTATTATGTTTAAGTCAAATATTATATCTGTTTGGGATTATTGTGACCAATTTGCAGTCTAAATATTATTTGTAATTATGTTCCACGGCTGAATCTAGTTGATGATCACTGGGCTAGGTCTTGTGTTGATGTTGTATCAGATTTATTTGATTGTGGTACTGTTTTGTAATGTGTCGTCTAGTCTAGTCACGTTGAAACCATTGTTGAAGCCCACACACACACACACACATAAATATTCATAGTGAAAGCCGTGCGCTGAGGCACGATCTAAAACCAGTATTTCTCTCGAGCACGAGCCCTTCCATCCTTCCATATTTTAAATGCTGCAGTGCTGCCTGAGAGCTGTTTGTGCTCCCTCCACAGTGCTTGACAGTGTAGTGAGTCACTCACTGCGCTGTAGCTTTTCCTGGTGTTTGTCCCATCTCTCAGAGAGATCCTTCTGCTTAGCCAGGAGTGTGTCCAACTTCTCCTTTATCTGTGGAGAGAGCGCGCGCGCGAGAGAGAGAGAGAGAGAGAGAGAGAGAGAGAGAGAGAGAGAGAGAGAGAGACGGGGAACATTCAAGATTACAAGAAATGTACCAAACGTACCAAATTACAAGAAATGTACTCAACGACAATGTACCAAAATATTTGACAGGGAATTTTATTCATCATCATGTGAGGTTAAGTGATACACCTCCTTACGCACATCATTGAAGACACACAAATACAATCTATTGTTCTTTTTATTTACAATAACACAGCATGAGTGAAATGTGGTTTTGCTGCATAGTGTGTTGTGTACCCACTGGGCACAGATGTCAATTCAATGTCTAGTTTTTATTTACATTTGGTTGAGTTGTCAAATATTGTGAATTCAACGTGAAATCAACAAAAGACGAATTTTATTTATTTATTTATTTGCAAATCCAATGAGTTTTCCACGTCATCACATACATTTTTGGGGTTGATATGATGTGGAAACAACGTTGATTCAACCAGTTTTTGCCCAGTGGGTAGTGTGTTTTTTCTGCATACAGTGTGTTGTGTTGTTTGTGAGGCTGTGTGGTTTTGCTACATACAGTGTGTTGTGTTGTGTTGTGTTGTGTTGTGTGTGATGCTGACCTCCTCAGCTGCTGGGTTGCCTGCGGCCAACAGGATCTTTCCCAGCTCCACACACTGTTGTAGGATCTTACTGCGGCCGTCCATCTTGGCTTTCAGCTCACCGTGCTGTTTCATCATCACCTCCGCAGAGGACGAATCCCTGGCGGAAGCCACCCCATAGGACCAGGTCAGATAGGAGGGAAGCACACCATGTAAAGTGAAGAGAGGGACCTATTACCATTTTCACACTATATCGTTCCGATCTGAACCATACTGTATTGTGCTGGCTTGGATATTTTATTTTCAAGTTGTCCTTTCCAGCATGGGTCTAGCAACTATATGGTGGATACATACTGTAATATGCCAGCGAAGTACAGGCTGGCTCGGCTCAGTTCAGTAGTATATGAAGGGTATGTGTAAAATGTTAGCCAAGTGCTTGGTTAGTGTACTGCGAAACCAGCTGAAGAAAGTAGAGTTAATGAGTGATGTGAATTAAAAAGATGAATCAGGACTACTTAAATACTGAAGACAAAAAACTCCAATCTATTTCCCTCATTTCCCTCAAACAAATTAAACTGAATGGCAGAATACATTTAGGTCAAGGTGGCTAAGCGTTTTATTTTTAAACTAGGCAGTAAAGAGAGCTTTATTGCATAACATGAATGGGACCATCTACACTCTACAGTATGTGCAAGCCAAGAAGGAATTAGCTCAACTAGGGGTGCCTGAATTGGTAACTAAAATAGAAGATTACATATACATTACAGATACATTTCGTTTTTTATCTGTACATTAAGCAGAGCCTATTTCTCAAGTCAAGCATTAGAGGTATGAGATTAACAAAATGGCCGACAATTAGCCTTTAGTTCAGGTAAGGAGACCTTCCATTACTTACCTGGGGTCGTCCCCTCCAATCTGTCCCATGATGCCTTCCATCCACATGAGATGCTCACGCACCACTGAGAAGAACTGCACCTTGTCTGTCACCGAGGTGACCTGCACGCAACTGGCTTCACAGGAAACCAGCAACTCCTTCCATGCTGACATCACTTCCTGTTCCTTGCTCATGATGGCCTCGGCCTTCTCCCCGGCGTAGATGGTCCTCAGCTGGGCCGCGTTCTCCTGCAGCTGCCTTACCTGGAATACCAAACAGGACATGCCTCTGTCATCTCAAATCATCATCTAATCATGGTTGGTCTTCAGTTTAGTTGACAACCAGGTTAATCAGGTGTGCTAGCTAAGGTTGAGGCAAAAGTATGACACCAGTCATACGGTATCTTTCATCTTTGCTACTGTGTCCATAATTGTATTCTGTTTACTGCTCCACTGTGTATCTTGGGGTTAACATCTGTAACATTCTTATGCCCTCCAGGAGAATGACTTATTTGACTGATGGGTGTTAGAGGAGACCCAGAGAGCATTGGTGTTCCTCAAGGTCATAAAGGAATTTACACTCACCTGTGAGACAAGCAGCTGGAGGGCGTGCTCAAAGGAGCGCATGAGCCTCTGCAGGGTGGCAGGGTTGGCGATGCTGGCTTGGCACGCCCTCACCTCTGGCAGTTGCCTCATCTTTCCGGCAATCTGAATCAAGACCTACAGCATAGGACAGACAGCATCGTCATCATCACAAGACAGTCAGAAATAGTACCTCACACATCAGGATAATGGCAAGACTACAGTGTCTACAGTGTCTATGGTCTACCAGCACCTCCAAACATTATGCTGTCTGATGTTATCTAATATAAATCCAGCCAAGCCGTCCTAGGGTTGATTTCACCATTGTACAGGCAGGTCAGGCCTCTCTGCCTAGCTCTGTTTCCCTCTGCCTACATTTCTTTGGGGTCAATCGGTTTCAATTAAACATTTTGGTTAAAGAGGACCTTGATGTTGATTTGGGGGCCTTTGTGCCCCGCCGAGAAAATAATCTTGGGGAAACACTGAGCTGTACCTCTTTGCAGTCGGTGAAGAACTTGTGCAGCTGGTGTGATGCTGTCAGCATCTGTCCTCGGGTCTCCATGAGCTCCAGTAGGTCGGCCCATGACTCGTTCAGTCCGTCCTTCCACTCAGCGATGGTGGCCGCGTCCGTGTGGCCGCAGTCTATCATCTCATTCACCATCTTATTCACCTGCTCCATCCTCTGCTGGCCTATGCTGTTGGTCTCTGAGCAGAACTTGGTGAATTTTTCCTGTAGCATCTGTGTGAGAGAGAGAGACCAGAATAAGTTTGGGACCAAAGTTATAGAGGGCATGTATCATATGTCACATTTCCATTTCATTGACGCTATTTTTATTGCATTTTGTTTTGTCTCATTCTGTTATGTTTTTATGGTGCACTTGGGACTGATTGCGAACATTAATCATCAATTCATTGATTGAATGATTGATTGCCTGATTGATTGATTGACAAACTGACCGTGACATGCTCCAGGTCTTGGCCCAGCTCAGTGGAGCTGGCAACAGCCTCCCGCTCAGTGATCCACTTCTCTAACTCCTCCACCTCTCTGTTGAGCTGGTACATCCAGTACTGCTGCTCCAGCTTAGTCTTCCTGTGCTCCACCATGTCCTTCAGAGACACGTACAGACGGTCTATGTGGGACTGCTGCTTGGTGATCCCCTCACTGCCACAGAGAGAGGGGATATTGAGAGTGTTATTTACACAGTAGACAGTAAGAGAACTGATCATTCACTGACATTTTGTAGCCTATACAAACTGAGACAATTTTATTTGCTCTATGGTCAAATTCCACTAATAAATTAGCCGTTGTTTGTGTGTATCATTGAAGGATGTGTTTAGATCTAGTCTGAGCCTGAGTGTGACTGTCAGTGTGTCTGCCCGTGCCTGTCTGGATGTGCCAGTTCCAGCTGCCTCTGACACTGCTGGGAGAGCATGCCCACTGTTTCAGCGTAGTTCTCCACCGTCGCTTCCAAGGCCAGGTGTTCCTTCAGCAGCTGCAGGGTGCTCGCCTCGTCCTACACAAGAGGGACCTCATATTAGGGACCAAATCCTTGTTCACAGATATATACATTTTACAAACAAACCTTCACCCAGATGTTAATTGTTTGTAAAAGAACAGGCACAGTAGACAAATGATAGTAAAAGTCCTCCTGGAGCACTGTGCACTAACCAACCGGCCAGTCTCATGCCCACCCTTGCCAGTTCAGTATCATGATACCATGCCAGCCATACGTACCATACCCTTCTCCTCGCTGATGAGGTGCAGTTTCTGGCCTGCCAGCCAGGACTCGACCTTGGCCGCCTCGCTGTAATACTGCTGGGCCTGCAACACCACATCCAGCATCACAGACCTCCTCTCCGCCTCCAGCCTCAGCACCTCCCAAAGCTGACGCACGTGCACCGCCCCCTCACGCACAAAGTCCACCTCGGGGGTCCGCAGAGAGGCGATGATCCCTGCCCGGTCCAACACCTCCTCCACCTGCGCCCGGCGCCCCTGCAGATCCCTCTGCAGCGTCTGACGGACCAATAAGAGACAGGGGTCATGTTCAGCTGGAAGAAGGTCTGAGCTGAGCAGGGATAGTGCTTGATACTGTGCTGTGAGGAGATAGTGTTGTGTGCTTGTATAGAGGTCATCTGTCTCTCACCTGGTTGATCTTGACATGCTGCTGAACACTCTGCAGGTTGTTGCCGTAATCCTTAGAGGAAGCCAGAGGAAGCCGGTCCTGGATCCACAGCTATAACATCAGCAAATTGTCGTCAGTGACTGTCTGTACATACCTATCTCATTGAGAGGAGAGCCTGGTGGTTTAATTGATCAAGGATGGGAGACATATTAAACCTTTGGCCATATAACATAATAAATATTTAGAAAAACATATTAGAGACCTTATGAGGCCATAAGCTAAAAACAAACTGAATAGATGGAGAGATGAAGTTATACCAGGGAGAGAGGGATAGATAGAGGGTAAGAAAGGCTGGAGGCACCATGGAGTAATGAAGTGTGTCAGTCACTCACTATCTCTTCCTTCAGGTCCTGGGCGACCTGATGCATCTCCTTGGAGGCCAGCAGGATGCGACGTCTCTCCTTCAGGGGCTCGATGAGGCGCACGATGCGGGTCTCCACCACAGCTGGCTGCTCGCTCCCTTCTCCTTCCCCGCCCTTCACCAGGCTGCCTCGCTGGGGGAGGCACACCCCCTGGAGGGATCCTAGTTCCCCCACGTCCTTGTACAAGTCCCCCATCTGAGACTGAGGAAGGCCAGCCCGAGGGAAGGAAAGGTCACGTTAGAGATAGATGATGAGAGACTGATGCCCCAAACACACAGCACATGGGTTTGAACAGCAATTTCAGCTATTTTCTTATGTGTGTGTTGTGTTTCAATGTTATGTAATGGGTTAGACGGCTTTAAGAACAAAGCATACGGTGCATTCTTTAATGTCAACCAGCCTAGTGGCTGGTGGGCAGGGAACTTGGCACAGAAAAATCCCAACAACGGCTTCTATAGCATTAGCAGACAGTAGCATGGATTGGAAAGATTACATAAATTCATTGAACATTTAGTGTTGTGTTACACTCTTAAATGTTGTCTATCACCAAGTTCTGATATCAGTTGTCCAAAGCACAGTCTTTGTCACAAAATAACTGCCTTAAAACAAAAAACATAAAAAACAACCTATAACAGTAAATAGACACCTGGAATTTATGCAGCTGCTCGTTGAAGGTGGGCAGGTGGTGAGCCTGCTCCAGCTGGGGGGGCTGTTTCTCCAGGCCAGAGAGCTGGTGGTCCAGGTCTGAGTAGCTCTTCACCACCGGCTCTGGCTTGTTGTTCTCAAACAGAGCTTGGGCCTTGGCCTTGGTGGTGCTCTCCAGGTCCGTCCAGCACTCCCTGATCTCCTCCAGCTTCTGCTGCACCACCGAGCGCAGCTCCGGCTTCTCATCGATCAGCTCCTGACCCTCCTGAAGGCACATAGAGGAGAGAGAGAGAGAACGGTGGTTACATACAGTATCTACACTACCAAAGTTATTTTCTTAGTTTAGTTTATCCTAACTACTGTCATTTACATGGCCAACAATTCATTTCACCGTTTGTATGGTTAAATATAAGCTGAGGTAGTTCAGGTGATATGCTGTTTTTATCATATACCATTGACGTAACGGTAAAGGCACTCTGCTGGTACTGTGATAAAATCAAACTCAGATGTTAAATAAAGCAATGAACAGTCGGATTTCTCAACTGAGAGATTTCATGCTTCCCTCCAACATGTACACTAGTATAATGTCAGCTTTCCCTTGGAGGGATGTTACTCACTGGCTGTGCTGATTGTTGCCTCATTTAGTAAAGTATGCTGAAAATCTCTCAGATATAGGCTACACAATCGCCGTACAGTATTACTATTTGGTGCATAATGCCAGAAAATATGAAATGATTAAACCCATGCCTAATATGACCAGATCTGACTAACACATCATAGTGTGAAATGTGCAGGATGACTGCAGCAGATGGAAGCATACACAATGTTTCATGTCTCTCTATTGCTGCCTATGCGTAGGTGATCTTCCGTCATGTCATACCTATGTTTACCATGGCCATTTAAAGATGCTTTCAATCAGTTTGATTTTAGGTTGATTTTACATTAATTTCATGAAGATCATCCTGTGTTTGCACACAAGTCTATAATAATAATAATATGCCATTTAGCAGACGCTTTTATCCAAAGCAACTTACAGTCATGCGTGCATAATTTTTTTTTGTGTATGGGTGGTGCCGGGGATCGAACCCACTACCCTGGCGTTACAAGCGCTGTGCTCTGCCAGCTGAGCTACAGAGGACCACAAGTCTACAGTGTCTCAATAAACAGCTATGGCTCTCAGTTATCCAAAGCATCATCTTTTCAAGTCACCACAGAAAAGCATAGCACTGTCTCTGTTTAAAGTAGTGCTGAGCGATTAATGCTTTTTGAGGTCGGTTCAGTTTCGGTTCGATTATTAAAAATCAATCACGGTTTTCGATTTCGGTTTCGATTATTTGGGTTGAATGCTGTAACATCACAGAATAAAACAATTAAAAGTCCCATGGTGGTAGTGACTGCCCATTACTGCTTATCACTTATTAACCATAATTTATCCACATTACTTTAATAAAATATTTCAGTTGTTGTGTATATAACATTTGTTTATTTGATTACTTTATTATTTCATTCCAAGTCATCCCATCTCTATAGAACTGCTGCCTATGCTGTCTGACAAAATCACAATTTTGTAGTTCTTCAAAGTAAATAAGGCATACTTTTATGACTGCTGAATGCCAACTATCAATCACTTAGATCATGTATTTTCAGGTAGAGATAGGCTACCTCGTGAAGCAACAGCTGCTCTCTATATCACTATCCTAAATTCTTCTCTCTTCAGTAGCAGGCCTAAAAGAAGCACAGACTGGACAAGTAGATGCGCAATGGATTATGGTCATTGTAGTTAATAACCACGTTTTATGCGCTAAACTATGTAGAATATTGGCCTGTTGGAAACTACAACTCCCTACTACATTGCACAGTTCAGGCTGGATCTGATTTATCTCTAGAGAACCTGTAATGTGAGCATTGAGCTCACAGAAAAAACCTGAACCAAATGGAATTCAAATAATTCAACCGATGTCGGTCAATTAGTTGTTTAAAAACCGAGAAATAACCGATCAGCACTAATCAGGTCATGACCCTAATTAAAAGGTTGTTTAAGAAAAAATAAGACAAACACCCTTTGATTGAACAACCGATGTTGTGTCTGGTCAAAAACACCAAGACAACCCCAAATTTCACATCATTATTTGTTCAAACTCTGGGCTATAACAAATGTGTGGTTCATGTATCATTTTTGTCCCTGAGTTCAAGTCAACTCAAGAGCAAGGCCACGATAGCCCTAGAAATGCCAAAAGGCATTTTTATTTGGACAACGGAGGCTAAAACTTTTAATTTGGCTTTATGCTCCAGCATTTTAGATTTGAGATCAAATGTTTTATATGAGGTGACAGTAAAGAATGTCACCTTTTATTTGAGGGTATTTTCATACATACACTATGTACACAAAGGTATGTGGACTCCACTTCAAATTAGTGGATTCGACTATTTCAGCCACACCCGTTGCTGACAGGTGTCTAAAATCGAGCACACAGCCATGCAATCTCCATAGACAAACATTGGCAGTAGAATGGCCTTACTGAATCGATCAGTGACTTTCAACGTGGCACCGTCATAGGATGCCACCTTTCCAACAAGTCAGGTTGTCAAATTTCTGCCCTGCTAGAGCTGCCCCGGTCGACTGTAAGTGCTGTTATTGTGAAGTGGAAATGTCTAGTCTTGGAGCAACAACAGCTCAGCCGAGAAGTGGTAGGCCACACAAGCTCACAGAATGGGACCGCCGAGTGCGGAAGCGCGTGGAGCGTAAAAATCGTCTGTCCTCGGTTGCAACACTGACTATAGAGTTCCAAACTGCCTCTGGAAGCAACATCAGCACAAGAACTGTTCGTCGGGAGCTTCATGGAATGGCCACACACAAGCCTAAGATCACCATGCGCAATGCCAAGCGTTGGCTGGAGTGGTGTAAAGCTCGCCACCACTGGACTCTGGATCAGTGGAAACGCGGTCTCTGGAGTGATGAATTACGCTTCACCATCTGGCAGTCCGACGGATGAATCTGGGTTTGGCAGAAATCTTAACGGAACAGCATGCAATGACATTCTAGACGATTCTGTGCTTCCAACTTTGTGGCAACAGTTTGCGGAAGGCCCTTTCCTGTTTCAGCATGACAGTTCCCCGGTGCACACAGCGAGGTCCATACAGAAATGGTTTGTCGGTGTGGAAGAACCTGACTGGCCTGCACAGAGCCCTGACCTCAACCCCATCGAACACCTTTGGGATGAATTGGAATGCTGACTGCGAGCCAGGCCTAATCGCCCAACATCAGTGCCCGACCTCACTAATGCTCTTGTAGCTGAATGGAAGCAAGTCCCCGCAGCAATGTTCCAACATCTAGTGGAAAACCTTCCCAGAAGAGTGGAGGCTGTTATAGCAGCAAAGGGGGGACCAACTCCATATTAATGCCCATGAATTTGGAATGAGATGTTTGACGAGCAGGCGTCCACATACCTTTGGTCATGTAGTCCCCCCATTTGAAGATGTCATAAGTATTTGGACAAGTTCACTTATAGTGTATTAAATTTAGTTAAAGTTTTGTATTTGGTCCCATATTCCTAGCACGCAATGACTACAAAGCATGTGACTCTGCAAACTTGTTGGATACATTTGCAGATGATTTTGGTTTGTGTTTTGGATTATGTTGTGCCCATTAGAACTGAATGGTAAATCATGTATTGTGTCATTTTAGAGTCACTTTTATTGTAAACAAGAATATAATATGTTTCTAAATACTTCTACATTATTGTGGATGCTACCTTGATTACGGATAATCATGAATTAATCGTGAATAATGATGAGTGAGAAAATTACTGATGCACAAAGATCATGCCCCCAAAACATGCCCATCTCACCATTACCAATAAGAGGAGAGGTTAGCATTTATGGGTGGGTATGATATTTATGCCTCTGTAACATTCTCACTCATCATTATTATCTGTAACTGTTTTATTAGTATATGTAACTGTTTTAAAGTCACCACTGGCCTCGGTGAAATCCCTGAGCGGTTTCCTTCCTCTCCGGCAACTGAGTTAGGAAGGACGCCTATATCTTTGTTGTGACTGGGTGTATTGATACACCATCCAAAGTGCAATTAACAACTTCACCATGCTCAAAGGGATATTCAATGTCTGCTTCTTCTTTTTATTTTTGTATATACCAGCAGGTGCCCTTCTTTGTGAGGCATTGAATCTGTGTTTGAAATTAACTTCTCGACTGAGGGACCATACAGATAATTGTATGTGTGGGGTACAGAGATGTTAGTGTTAAAAATCATGTCAAAAACGATTATTGCACACAGAGTGAGTCCATGCAACGTATTATATGACTTGTTAAGCACATTTTTACTCCTGAAGTTATTTAGGCTTGCCATAACAAAGGGGTTGAATACATATGGACTCAAGACATTTCAGCTTTACATTTTTATTAATTTCTAAACATTTCTAAAAAAATAATTCCACTTTGACATTACGTGGTATTGTGTATAGGCCAGTGACAAAACATCTCCATTTAATGTATTTTAAAATTCAGGCTGTAACACAACAAAATATGGAAAAAGTCAAGGGGCGTGAATACTTTCTGAAGGCACTGTAACTTCAAATGGGGGGGATTAGATACATAAAGTGCTTTAATTTTTAAATGGTAAAACAGATATACAGTGGGGAAAAAAAGTATTTAGTCAGCCACCAATTGTGCAAGTTCTCCCACTTAAAAAGATGAGAGAGGACTGTAATTTTCATCATAGGTACACATCAACTATGACAGACAAAATGAGGGAAAGAAATCCAGAAAATCACATTGTAGTGATTTTTAATGAATTTATTTGCAAATTATGGTGGAAAATAAGTATTTGGTCAATAACAAAAGTTTCTCAATACTTTGTTATATACCCTTTGTTGGCAATGACACAGGTCAAATGTTTTCTGTAAGTCTTCACAAGGTTTTCACACACTGTTGCTGGTATTTTGGCCCATTCCTCCATGCAGATCTCCTCTAGAGCAGTGATGTTTTGGGGCTGTCGCTGGGCAACACGGACTTTCAACTCCCTCCAAAGATTTTCTATGGGGTTGAGATCTGGAGACTGGCTAGGCCACTCCAGGACCTTGAAATGCTTCTTACGAAGCCACTCCTTCGTTGCCGGGGCGGTGTGTTTGGGATCATTGTCATGCTGAAAGACCCAGCCACGTTTCATCTTCAATGCCCTTGCTGAAGGAAGGAGGTTTTCACTCAAAATCTCACGATACATGGCCCCATTCATTCTTTCCTTTACAC